ATAATAATAATAATAATAATAATAATAATAATAATAATTGTAAAAAAGGGGGAAGAATCAAAAACTCTTATGAATTCTAGAAGGAATAGGCAAAGGTTCCCCTCGCACATATGTGCTTCTCGTTCCCGACTCTAGGGGGCGGGGCTCATCTCCATTTCAAAGCCGAAGAGCCTGCTCTGTCCAAAGCCGTCTCCGTGGTCATGTGACCGGCATGACTAAATACCGAAGGCGCACAGAACGCTGTTGCCTTCCCACCAAAGGTGGTTCCTATTTTTCTACTTGCATTTTTACATGCTTTCGAACTGCTAGGTTGGCAGAAGCTGGGACAAGTCATGGGAGCTCACTAGGGATTCAAAGCGGCAAATTGCCGACCTTTCTGATCAACAAGCTCAGTGTCTTAGCCATTGAACCACTGCATCCCTATCAAACCCAACATACAGTAAGCTAAAATAATACAGTTTCAGAGACACATAGAAAAATTTTCACAGAAATGGCAAATATCTAGTTCTAGGGAACCAACCCAGAAGAGGAGTGTGGCTATAGCTATCCTAACCCTAAAACTTAGGGAATAGGGCATGTAAGAGTAAAAAGGCACCTTCACCACCTTGAACCCAGAGGGATATATTTGCAAATGCTCCATGCGTAAGGGAATATTTAGCCCAGTAAATTTCTGTGCAGGTATTCCTACAGAAAAAGCATCCTTGGGCAACGGAATTGTTCAAGGTGCTCGTTCCCATAAGGGATGTGAATGGATCACATTTCTGAGGGTTCCCCCAGTGAACATAGGCTATGCCAGTTTGTCCTTTCCAGCCAGCACTACTGTGGAGAGCTGAAGAGGTGTACCAGGAAACCAAACAATCTCCAACCCTGTCCCAGCCAATCCTGCCTGACCTGGCAAAGCCAACTCCTCGGCTGGTGCCGCTGGCATCACGTAGGATACGTGTCGAGATGACTTGTCCGAACGGTTTCAGCATCGACTCCAATTCAGCCTCATCCATGCCCAAAGGCAAGTTTGACAGGTAGAGGTTGGTAGGATCCTGCTCCTGTTGCTATGGAAACAAGAAGTCAGGCTGTTGCCTAGCAATGGTCCATCCCATCCCGGGGACGCATTCCTTTGGACTCTCCCTTCCCCTTCCTGAACGTATCACCTGCCTCTGTTGAGATGCTTGCTGCCCCCCCTTCCCTAGGCACACTGGGGCCTTTCTATCTATAAAGAGAACTCAACGTATTATCTCGGTCGAGCGCCCGGCTTCTGCTCTGAGCAACCCCGCCGGGGAGACTCACTGCTGTGAAGCAGAATGAAGAGAAGCTGAAACACTGGAAGGATCCAGCATCCAAGGAGAGCAAGCGAGGCAGCAAACATGGCCTAGAGTACTGTTGGCTACATCACATACCCAAGTGTGCTAACTGCACACTGGGAATGACATACATGACCTAAGTGCATGTGGGAACGCTGTGTGTTCTTTCCAAATAGTGATACTCAGACTGTCAAAGAAATTCCGAGGGAATCCCACCGCTGGCCATGGCTTTAATTAACCAAAACGTGGAGAATCATAGGTTCCCCACCACTGATTACAGTGTAATTTACTCTGAGTAAATCCAAATCTACTGGAGCACCAGAGTGCAACATCTGCCACCCATCAAATGGGAAGATAGTCTTGGGCTAAGAGAGCATTACTTATTTCTTATATGGAACCACAATGATGGAGCTCTCTGCTTCTTTGAGTAGTAGCTTATTTAGTCTACAGAACAGTGGACCCAATCTTTCTGGGTTTATGAAGCGGCAGGAGCAGGGGGAAGTGGGTGGAAAAAGAGGATGGTTTTGTGCACATGCCCACCGCTTGCACGGCCCAGTTCCCAAGGGCCACGGACTGGTACTGTGTCATGGACTAGGGGTTGAGTACCCTTGCTAGAGAAAGCTTTCTTTTTCTCTTTCTGTGTCTTTCTGTTTCTCTGTTTCTCTCTCTCTCTCGCTGTCTTTCTATCTCTCTATCTTTCTGTCTCTCTCTCTCTTTCTGACTGTCTGTCTCTCTCTCTCTCTGTCTCTCTCTTTCTTTCTCTGTCTGTCTCTCTCTTTCTCTGTCTCTCTTTCTCTCTCTCACTCTCTCTTTCTGTCTCTCTCTCTTTCTTTCTCTCTCTCTCTCTTTCTCTCTCTCTGGCTCTCTGTTGGAGGAGAAAGAGGAACTGAAGCTTGTTTCAATATCAAAAGTGCCACCTGATTCAAGCAACCTGCCCCAACCAAATGGTGGCACCCTAATTTCCAGAACTCTTCCCAATATCCCTGGAAAGCTTCCGCTTGGGGGAAAGTGGAATTAAAATGATGAGCAAAGTGTGTTTTTGAAAAGAATTAATACATCATATAAGTGAACAATTTATCTTCAAACATTGACGCCTCTAGTTTTAAAGACCTTTTTTTTGGGGGGGGGGAAGGGTATTCTTTTCCCAAATAACTTAGGAAAGGAATCCTTGCCTGACCAAGTGAGACTGAGTAATACTGGAAATTATTCTGGGATTCCAAGGCCAGGATATCCAACTTAATGGATAAATAATTTGATCTGCTATGGTTGAGTCTCAGGTAATAGCTGGGGTCCGATTCACATATAATAATACTAAGGTACATTGGCTCTGGGTGTTGCTCTTGTCTGCTTAGGCCTTATCTGAAGGATGGCTTGAATAGAAAACCCAGGTTCCTGCACAATTTACCACCAGGTCTACTCATAGGGACTGTTCCCAGCACCACCACTCCAACTACATGGAGTGAAGCACCAGTGCAGGAGTCGGCAACCTTAAACATTCAAAGAGTCACAAAGGTCCTAACCAGAAGCTTCCCGTTCAATTCTGGAGCCGACTGGAAGTCTGGTTCCCCCACCCTTGAGTCTCCTCCTGGCGCGGCGTCCTTTTTCCTCTATCTGTCCTAACTGAAAGCCCTATCAATTGTGGAGCCGGCCGGCGACAGGGAGCCGCAGCAGAGGGATGAAAGGGCCAAATGCGGCTCCAGAGCCACAGGTTACCAACCCCTGCACCAGTGGTACTCTTGAAACACTAGGTAACACAGGTAATGCCAGAGAATATACTCTGTAGAGAAGCATCTCCATCATGGCCAGGTTATTATAAGGAGGGTCTTGCTTCCACGGGGCTAAATCACAAGGAGCATCTTGTGGATGGAGGACTAGAAGCTGAACTGTGATGATTTGAGTCAGGCATGTTCCCCGTCTCCTTCGTGGAAGTGAGGGGAGGGGGTTCTGCCGGGCAGGGCTGTAGCTCAAGGCTTACCTTGGCCATCTGAGCTTGGACCCCGCTGGCCTTGAGTGCAGTCACGGCTTTCTGAGCTGCTGTGGGGCTGTCAAAATCCACAAAGCCATAACCTGAAGGTTCAAGGAGAGGAAAGGTAAGTCCCGTTGACCTCAGAGGTTCTGTTTCCAGCTTCTACAAGAAGTCCTTGACTTACAACAGTTCCTTTAGGGCCCGTTCAAAGTTACATCACTGAAAAAAAAGTGACTTATGACCGTTTTTCAACACTTAAGGACCACTGCGGCATCCACACGATCACAAATTGAACGCTTGACAATCGGCTCCCATTTATGACGGTTGCAGTGTCCCGTGGTCACGGGATCCCCTTTTGCGACCTTCTGACAATAGGGAAGCCAGGTTCACTTAACAACCGGATGACTAACTTAACAACTGCAGAAATTCACTGAACAACCATGGCCTGAAAAAGGTCGTGAAATGGGGGAAAACTCATTGAATACATGTTTCACTTAGCAACATACATTTTGGGCCCAATTGCAGACATACGTTGAGGACTACCCCTATAGGGGATCCTTCCTACAGCCCTTTGTACCTCTGGGTGAGTAGCAGAGAGACTCACCTCTGCAGAGGAGCAAAAAGCCCTCCTGCCTCACCCACCTATTTTACATTCTCAGCTGCACCACACCCTCTGGCACACCACAAACAGCAATCACTCTGAGGGGCAAGACTAATGTTATCTGGCGGGTTAGCAAACCTTGGCACGGAAGCCAGAGGAGGAGGATCCGCCTCACCATTAAACCATACAGGCTGCAGGACTACTCCCCTCCTCTTCTTCCTCTTCCCACCCCTCCTCCTCCTCCTCCTCCTCCTCCTCCTTCAACTTGTACTCTGAGTGGAGGCTCCATCTTTTTTTTCCCTTCTCCCCAGCAATGTCTGGCATTTCAGGAATGCAACTCTCCCCCCCCCCATCACCCTCATGCCAATAAACCATCCCCACCTTCAGACTGAGCCCCTCCTCCCTCAGGAAGCTTGGCTCCAGAATCAGATNTCCCCACTGGTCCAAGGCTCAGGGGGCCCCCTGGTGGCCAACCAGCCTCTCTGCACCCTGATCAGAGTCGGAACCCTGTCCTGGGTCCTCCACATCCTCCAGAGCCGACTCATAGGGCCCCTCGCTGTCGGAGTCTGGTGGCAGCTCCAACGGCTCCTGCTGGGCCACAACAGCAAAGTAACTGCTCTTTGTATAGTAGATGTATTATCGTACAAATTGTGCAATCTGCAAATTGTAACCTAGTCTCAGATGGGGAAATGCAAGGTGGAAAATACAGCCCTATTCAAAGCCAAGGGACTTAACTAGCCATAACTAGCCATAAGTAGCCATAACCATTCAATTTTGACAGGCTGAGTTGGAATCACTGGCTTGGCTTCATCTGTGAACCTCAGGATTGGGTTATACAACTGAGTATTAGAAACACATTTATAATACCAGATCCTGAACTGACAGATGACTTCATCCAGTAGTTTCATGTAAATGTGGAAGGTGGCTGAAGATATCTAAATTCACGGGTAAACTTCTTATGTACTGTATATCTTTACATGGGATTCACAAACTTTTTTACACTCTCCCCCCCCCATTCCAACCAAGTTATTGGGATGAAAACAAAGAAAATGGAGAAGTGAAACAATTTGTTTTATTATTGTTCTCTACTTTCTTGCGTTCCCTAGGTTTTAAAAACAAAACTGCAAAGATTTCTGTTTGGCTTCTTCACGTGAGATTATTGTATGCAAAGTCAATCCTGAGTTTCACACTGTAGTTGATGCAGTGCAATAAAGAAAGTTGTTTTAAGCTATTTAGTTGTGCTAGTGTACTTAACAATATTGCAGAATATATTACAGAGTGGGTATAGAGAAGAAAACAAGTGAAGTGCGAAGCCAAACAGCTTCAGCACCCTAATTCAACTTACAAAAAAAAAATAACGTTAACATTGCAAACAATTTCCGTGAGTTGTGAAGGAATTAAATTCAATGTTCCTAAAGGGGCTGCATAAGATGCAATCTCTTACTTGGTTCAAAAATGCCACCTACAATTTGTTTAAAAAAAGAAATGCTTTATTTGCAAAAATGCAATGACCAAGAAGCTTGTACATTAAATAAACTGTATGCTGCCATTATATTATGACTTAACGGGACGTTCTCCAGCATAATAAAATGCTTTTTTGTAGTTTATAACAGTAGCAAGAGCTCTTAGATTTATATACCGATTCATAGTGCTTTACAGGCCTCTTTAAGTGGCTTACAGAGTTAGCATATTGGACCCAACAATCTGGGTCCTCATTTTACCAACCTCAGAAGCGTGGAAGGCTGAGTCAACCTTGAGCCGGTCAGGATTGAACTGCTGGCTGTCAGCAGAATTAGCCTGCAATACTGTATTTTAAACATTCTGCTGTTTTATCATAAAGTAAGATTTGTGTTTGTTTAAAAAAGGCGAATTTGTATAGTTGTCTGCGCTCTGAGTTCCCCTGGAAGTTGCTATGCTCTTTTCAAAGGGATCAGATCATGTAATGGAAATCTGATATATAGAACGTTAGAGTTTGCATCTGACAAAATTGAACATACATGCCTGTTGTGTCCCAGCAGGAGCCGTTGGAGCTGCCACCAGATTCCAACAGCGAGGGGCCCTATGAGTCGGCTTTGGAGGATGTGGAGGACCCTGGACAGGGNGAACTGAACTGAACTGAACTGAACTTGAGTCACCATGGGCGACTAGGCGGCAATATAAATTCAATAAATAAATAAATATCTACACACAAAGACACACACACACACACACACACATGCACATATTCTAAAAGAATTAGTGGCAAATTCATTTGGTGTTGTTGCCAAGTAAACCATATGGATGTGTCCATGAAGTCCCTGAGAGTTGAACTTTTGCTTGAAGGAGATTTTTAAGACATGGTAGTGATTTACACTTCTAAGACAAAATGAACCAATGGCATTAAGTTCTGACTCATTAGAGCCAGGTGTCTCTTCCTAAAATATGTACTCTATGAACATTGAGTAAAAATAGAACTTACCTAGAAGACAAAGATGGTTGCTTGCCCAAGCATGCATTTTTAAGTCTCTTTCTGTCCTCCCCCTTGTTAAGCTAGAAAAAGACAAAAGGACAAATCTTCAACCTCAGAATTTTATGAAGATTCAGCATTTTTCTTGATCAATCATTTAATGAGACGGAGAAGTTTCATAAGTTATAGAGTACATTTTATTTTTCCCTTTCACATATTCTCTTTCTTCTTTCTCCATAGGTATTTTAAGACCTTACTGAATAAATATTAAATGCTATTTCCTGGCAGATGTTTAATAAATGGCTAAAATATAACAGCTAAAAGGAAATAACTGAAGAATGAATAGATGGTCATTTTTTTTGAAATTCACCTTATATTCTACATTATTATCCTTCCTACCCCAAGAAAAGCATCCAAATGTACAAATGTAAACTGGACTTTGTAAATAACTCTGAATATTACAATTAAGTGTGATACATCTCAGAAGGATTAAGGCGTAGACAAGCATTTAGAGATTCATGCAACATCAGCTAAAAGCACAGAACCTATTCCTATTACAATTGCGGCTGAATAGTCCCCTTGTGGGATAGGATGTGACTCTCCTATTTCAGGTTTCAAACTCTCACACACACAGTTGCTAGGTGAAAATAGCAATTTACTCAAAGTTGATTAGAAAGTCAAAATTGTTTTGTTTAACAGAATCTCCAAGAAAGGAAGCTTGCATGGGTAGTTTTGCTTTCAGAAGGAATGCACAGAAATCCAAATCCAATCCAAACTTCAGAGAGCCAAGTCAGGTTCATCAGCCTGTACAAATGTTAGAATTTTAAGATATAAGCATTAAGATGTAAACATTAGTATTGTTTCCCAAAAAATAACACAGGTTGGGGCTCCCTCTTACATCAGGTTTCAGCCTCAATTAAGTGAGTTGCTCCTTGCTTGGCACCCACTGAGCATCTTTGTTCTGTTCTCTGCTCTACTCCTGAACCCAAGGGCTTGGAAGCCATACATCAACACCTGACTTCTCCAGCTGTTCTGATGGTGCCTGTATTTGATTAGCTTCAGGTAATTCCTGGCTTGGTGTCTCTTGAGTTTGACATTCCAAATGGAACAACATCATCAGAATCTCAGTCCTGATCATGGTGATGACACCTCAAAAATTATAATTCAAATCAATCAATGGACTTACTTGGACTTAATCTTCGTAAATGTCAACGTCCATAAGGCAGTGACCATTGCATTGTGAAGGCCAGGGGCAGGACGTCACNTGTAAACCGCTTAGAGAGGGCTGAAAGCCCTATGAAGCGGTATATAAGTCTAACTGCTATTATTCGCAGGCTCTGCATTTTCGTTTGCCTTAGGTGGACTCGCAGGTTACACACAGGACCGTCTGAATAGTATTATTCAATCCACGGATAGGGTCTTTCTTCTCGGTTTACTCGGAGCTCTACGGATTAATGGCTCCCCCTCCCCGTCCCTCTGCTTTTTTCCTTCCCGCACCGTCCGTACTATGGAGGGGTTACAAGCACCTCGGAGCAGGGAGATAGAAACCGGGAGAGACGTAAAGCTTCAACGGCTTTTAGGCAAAGCCCGAGGGCGCCCAGTGGGGTCGACCGAGCAACCAACCACGGGTGGTGCCGGCTAATCAAGAGATCGAGTCCCGAGAGGGGGAAACCAGAGTCCCTCGACAGAGGAGGAATTTTACGCGGGACGGAGGAATAAACACAAGCGGGCGAGAGCAGGAAACGCCGCTTATGGTGCGAGGAGGAGGAGGAGGAGGAGGCGTGGTAGGTCTGGGCGGGGCTGCCTGGTGGTGGGCGGGACCCCTTCCAGTAGGTGAAGGTTAGGCTCTCTTCCCTTTGATTTAGATTAGAAAGAAGGCAAAAGAGTTCTAGCCTCGCTTCCTTCCCAAAGCGCCCTTTTCCCCCCATTTCTTTTTTCTTTTTTTGCAAGCGAAGCGAAGGCGGCGGAGGCGGCGGAAAAAAAGCAGCCAAGAGGTTGCCTTGCACCGGGGGTTTCTTGTTTTTGCAACGCGGCTGCTGCTGCTGCTTTCACGAACGGCGAAGGATGAGGTTCAGCGCGATAGCGGGGCTGAGCGCCTTGTTGGTCTTTGGCTTCCAAGCCGTCTTCGCGGTGAGTAGTAACAACCAACCCTCGGGGAAAGGGGGGGGGGCGCCGGAGAAAGGAAGCTTCTCCGTGGCGGGTCGGCGCCGCGTCCTGGAGGAACCCGGCTTGCACGTGGTCGGTCAGCTCCGAGAAGGGGAGCCTGGAGAGAAGGAGGAGAAAGCGGCGTCTTTCTTTCCTCTTTTGAAGCGAGCCAGGTTGAGTTTTGGGGCTCTAATGCCTTTCAGTAGAAGCGGCGCGGGGAATAGACGGGGGGGGGCAGAAGACCCTTCCAAGCCCCCCTCCGCGTCTTCTTTCTTCTCCCTCCCTCCCTCCGTCCTCGCCCTTGCTGGCCAAGCGGTCCCCGTGGATGTTTGGGGGATACACCGCTCAGGGAAGCGATTTCTGCCTCTTCCTCGCTCTTCCTTTTTTTCCTTCTTCTTTTTTTGCTCCTCTCCGGCTCGTTGCTGCTCGTCCCTCCCTCCCCTCCTTTCCCCAATTCCTCAACAGGTCCTGAAGGAGTAAAACAAAAAAAAAAGCTGGAGGTTGAGAGTCTATTGTGTGAGCCCCGGGAATGTGGCCGGCTTTTATTTATTGGCTGCCCCCGAAAGCTTTCTAATTCAAACCAGACCAGGGAGAGCCTCCTAACCTGGCTTGGAAGTCTTCTCTCCTCCAAGCCTCCCTCGCTCCCTCCCTCCCTGTTGCAATTAACCAGATATTTGCCTAGTTCGGCGCCGCGGTGCGCCTTTTCTGCTGGCTGCCTTTTTTAAAAAAAAAATAAAAATAAAAACTCTCCGTGGCAAGTTATAACTCGAGTTTTAAGGATGTGGCGCGCCTGGCTCCCAGTACTTCGGTGGCCCTGCCCTCCTTTCCCGGGACCTCGCTAATCTCTGCTGTGTGTGCTCTGTGCCAAATCCATTGGTAATGGTGCCAGTTTAAACACACACACACACAGAGACACACACACAGAGACACACACACACACACCTCTTCACACACACACACACAGACACACACACACACACACAGAGACACACACAGCCCTCTTGTGAGTAGGCTAACCTGAAAGCTGCCGGTAGAGTAGGTTGACTCCTCTTTCGCACGTTAGGAAATTCTAGTGTGGGAGGAGGGATTTTCCCCCAGTAAGACGGGAGCATCATACGTGCCTGCAAAGTATTGCTTTCATTCAGTTGGATGCTGGGGTGGTGGCGAGAAAAGTGATTTCTAGAAAAATAGTTTAATATCAGGAGGGGATACAGTTCCCACTACACTGCACTGCATGACCTTCCCTGAGATACTATAGGTCGTTTGTGAGATTGTAGCTTGGCCATCTATCATGTGGGTGTGTTGAGCTGCCAATGAAGCAGTCATGAGAACTTAACCAAAGCGGATTAGGAAGGTTAGGTAATGAGTTGAGTTACTTCTGATATTATCTCCCGTCAGATAAAGCAACCAGTCTTTGTTACAGTCAGCAAAAGCATTAAAACAGTTTTAATCATAGTAAAAAAATAATGCTCTGAAATATCTGAAATGCTCTTCTGATGAAATCAAGTTTTCGCAGGTAAAGCTTTTGGATCGTGAGGGTAAGGTGGAAAGAGACTCCCAAATCTACGGATCCTAAAACAGAATTTGAATAAAACATGTTGCTGTTTATCAGGTCCAAATAACTAGCATTTATAAATGCCTGAAACAGCGAAACTGTTCAACACCCAGCCTCGAAGGCAGAAAACACCTAAGTCCTCTGATACATTTTTTTAGCCTGCTTTTTTTGTGCTTGCGTAGCAAGAATCTTTTGTCTCTTAAGTAGAAGTAAGAGTTCACTTTCTTCTCCAAGCCTGTTTAATGGGGTTCAGCTACAGCTGTTAAAATGACAGTGGAAAACTATAATGTAGCACTGAAGTTTCTGAACATCACCTTTCCTCCCAGTCACCTCATAACTCAGGGTAATGATTAACTTGACCCCCTCCACCCCCCCAAGAAGTCTTATCACAATGAGGACATTTCCATATTGGAGTGATTCAGTGGATGAAATAGGATATGATGTAATTATATTTTGTTTTATGTGATTAATAGAAAACAGGGCTGCCTCTGGATACCTGTAGACAAGCTCACCTCATTCTGCTGTGTTTGTTCCTCAGGGTTGGGTCATTTTTTTTTGCTGTAATGCCTCCCTATTGCTAGCAAGAGACTACAAAATTGCACCAATTTAAAATCAGAAAAGAGATGTTGTACTTTACTTAGACTTTCTTCACTGTGGACTTCAATAAAGATGGATGTGTAAAGTTCCCTAGCAAACGGAATGTGCTATGTTAGTTAAAAACGAACACAACATTAATATAATTTATTAGTTTAATAAAAGCAAATATGTTATTTATTAAAACTATTAAACCACTCCATGGAGTTGCAACTTTAAAAGCTAATATTGGTCTACTCTGTGCTAGAGCGCATTCAGTATTTTAAAGCTATCATGGGAATTCTTTTTTTCCCCTCAACCACCAGATGTCGCCACTGAACAAACTATGTATAGTTTATCTTAACGCCTACCCAGAGACTCAGCGGTAACAAATTGCTTAAATAATTTAATTACTCTTATTTGGGTCTAATAACTCATCATAATTTCCATTATAGTATGAATCTCTCTTGTTGAAGGATTAATCAGCTACAAACAATACTACAGTTTGCAACTGACTCTTCTTGCTAAGTCTATGGGAGGACCACCCAATCCATTTAGTACTGTACTGGCGGCTTTAACTCAGAAAGTAGCCTGCCCTATCTGGTTCTGTATGTAGCTCTACCCATCTTGTTATTGATTGCTGGCTGTCATTCAAACTGCAACTCTGCACTTTCATTATTAAGGGGGGACGACAAATAGTACAGACTGTATTTTAAAAAAAGTAAAAATGGGATTCAGGTAGAACATGTATGGAAGAAAGTTGGATAGTCACAATTGGTGTGACGGCCTTTGAGGTACATAAATGTACCTTTAAGGTTTTTTACTTCTCAACATTTACAGGCAGGAAAGGCGTAGGTAAAAGAAAGGAGAGGAGGCAAGAAATAATGGTGGTCCATTATGAAAAGATTGTTGGAGTTGATTCTTCCAGGTAGAGGGTTTGTAGTAGTAGAAGAGATTGTTCACTCATTTTTGTAAATGATAATATATACCTTAAACCTGTTAAGGTAGAAAGAACAACCACAATACTTATTGTAACTTATCTAAGCATAGGTAGCAGACAACTGAGAGATAGTTGAATGGCTAAATTAAAGATTGTCTCAGTTTCCCCCCTCCCCCAAGATACTGTGATTAGAGAAATAACTTAAGAAAAAGATATTAGTAATTCAGCCCATGTTGGATTTCTAGTACACTAGTAACTATAAGTGTTTTTTTTAAATACAAAATTCATCTGTTACTTACTTAAAAGCTTACAACTGCACTTCACTACTTTTGAAGTCTCAATAAGCTGTCCAATTTCATCTTTTATAAGATTGTATAACCTTTTATCAAGGAAATCAGTTGTGTGGAAAATTTGGATTAAAAAGAAGCTTCTTAAAAGATTTATGCTGAAAGTAGCTGTTTTTTTGGCTTTGCAACTGGAGAGAGGGTTAACTGTAAAAGTAACCAAATGACTCAAATAGTGTATTGCTGAACTTATTAATTAGTACAGACTTTAGGTGACCAATGAATGTGTTACATTCATTTATATAGGTAAGGAAATACTGTAATCAAATTCATGACTTGTCTTAAAACAAGTATAATAGAACAGATTTCTGGACTTTGATCTGACCTACATACTATGAATTTGAACTTTGTATACTTTCTCTGTTAGGCTACCTAAGCAATGCAGTATATTACTTTAAAAGCTGCCAGTCTGTGTTTCAGATTTTTCTATATGAGGCTGTTTATTTAGCATTGAAAAAGTAAAGGCAGTGTCAGCAAAGATTTTAAAACACATCATAGAGAGATTGTTCTGTAAGTACTTTGAAAACTATGTGATAACTACCAGATATTAGCATGGCTTGGTTGAAAACAAATCTTGCAGACTAATCTTACTTTGGATAAGAAAAGTTGTCTGAAGGTTGTCTGAAGTTATCTGAAGATTGAATCATTGCAACTGGGCTAATCTTTAGTTTGAGAGACTTTTCACTGCCCATCCAGACAGCTTCCTCAGTCAGAGTTGTTGGGATGTACCAACTCCTGCCACACACAATTGAATCATTGCCACTGGACACTCTGGGGAGGAAACCTCTGAGGTTGGTGTGGTAGGAGTTGGTTCATTCCAATGACTCCCTGCCTAACTGACTTGCTCTGAATGATGAAGCTGCTTGGATGGGCAGCGAAATACACTCTATTGCCAAAAGTATTCGCTCACCCATCCACATAATCAGAAGCAGTTGTGAGCGAATACTTTTGGCAATATAGTGTATCTCTCAAACTAAAAATTAAGTCCAGTTGCAATGATTCAAACTTCAGAAAACCTTCAGTTAACTACTTGTATGATTGAGAATCTTCATCAAAGATAAGAAAAGTTATTTAGCAGATTGTGGGAATGCTGCAAATGTAATATGTCTTGATTTCCAGAAACCAATTGAGAAAGTATTCCATAATATTCTAAGTGGAAAGCTGCTTACCTATGGGTTGGATAGCATGATAATGATAAGTGGATGTACGAACATTATACTCAAATAAGATATCAAACAGAATGCAACTCAGTTGTAGGGCCCGTGCTCTTCCCGTTTTCATTAATAATTATTATCATGGTTATTTAGTTGAAATTGTTTGATCCCACAGAAAATTTAAGACTTTCTGAGAATGCCAATGTTATTTTTGTGATTGTACTGCACAGCAGGAATCTATGGCAACTTGCAACTTAAGAGGTTCATCTGGGAAGGAAAACTAGAGATTTCTACTGGTTTCTGGGTAGCGTTAGGTGCAGTACCTGTTCAATCAAATACTACTATAAAATCCCAGTAGAAAAGCATTGCCAGGAATTGCAATGACTTGCCTGTCATCAAATCTCAACTATGTTAAACAG